ACCCAAAAAAGAGACCGGGTGTGGTGGTGTGTGCCTGTAATCCCAGAACTTGGGAGGCTGAAAAACAGGAAAGATCACTACAAATCCAATCTGTGTAGTGAGACCCTATAGACCCTGTAATAAATACATTTAAAAAAATCGTTTGAGTGTCACACTGTTACATCTTTAAACTATGAGGTATAGTACATACAGTTTGGAAATAATTTTATACAGTAGCTTGTGTACAATTTTTAATATCTTCCAACACATTTGAATATAATATGTGTATATATATATATAATGTAATGTATATTCTTGTTTGAGACAGGGTCTCACTATGAACTTCAGGTGGGCCTTGAACTTGCTTATGTAGCCCAGGCTGGCCTGGAACTCACAGTGATCCTCCTGCCTCAGCCTCCTCCCCAAGTGCTGGAATGATAGGCATGTGCCACCACGCCTGGCTGATACAGCAGAGGATGAACTACTACCAGTAAAGGAAGCCATCTGAAGACTTTCGAATGTTGGAGTTTGGTGGACAGCCTGCCTAGCACGCCTGACAGCTTGAGTTTGATCTCCAGCACTGTAACAGTACATCAAATGAGGTGGTACTATTTTGAGGTGCTCATGTCCCACATTCATGGGACCTCTGTGTGTGAGGACCTGGGCACCAGGGGACCCACCACACTCCAGAAGCATTGGCCGGCCCCTCTCCTGTCATTTGCAGCTGACTGTAGTGCCTTGAGTCGGAAGACTGATGAAGTTTATTATCTAGTTGTAGCTAACCTAGCCCTCGTGAAATGGAAGGATTTAAAAGATTGCGGTTAAAACAAAACAAAAACCCACAAAAATATTAAAGCACATCAACACAAGCCAGTGGTGGCAAGCCTAAGCACGTGTGTTATTTGTTTTTCATTGAAGACAAATAATCTAGAGTTGTTTTTCCTAAACTGAAGCCTTAGTCTCCAGGCTATGGAAGTGGGCTTGGGGCTGCAAGCAGGACCCTGAGTTCCAAAGCGCTGGCCATTGCTGAGAAGAGCATGAGGGGACAGAAAGCACAAGGCAGAGCTGACACTTCTTCATGGTGAGCTCTTTATTGGCCGTGTGACAAAATGAAACTACGATGCTCTCATCAGACCTGGCAAGCTGGTTAAGTGTCATCAGGCCTACCCAGGTGTGGAGGCACACGTCTTTAATCCCAGCACTTTTAGAGAATGAGGTAGGACAACTGCAAGTTCAAGCCTGCCCTGGCCAGCTGCGTGGCTTAGCGAGATTCTGCCTCAAAGCAAAAAAATATTTTAAAGGCGTGAGGTTATAGCTCAGTACAAAGGCCCTGATTTCAATTCCTGGTACTAAAAAATAAGTCAAAGTATCTGGATTATTTGAAATATGGAGCCAGTGCTGAATCTCACCCTACATGTATATTGTGCATTCAGAGACTAGTGGGAGTGATTCATGTACCTAATTTAAAAAATAAATCCACGTACACATATTTAGGAATGAATGCTAACCAATTTCTTCTTTTTTTCTTTAATTTTTTAAAAAATCATTTATTTATTTATTTGGTACAG